TTCTCCGGCTTAGTTAATAAACAAAGAGAACTTGACGAAAGTGGTTGTTTAAATGGGAAAGGGTCCTCAGGGGTTCTTTACACAGTCTCCACGACCCTGCTCTAATTGTTCAAGTAGTTAGGGGCCAAACAAGTCCCTCCATCTTAAATAAAATACACGAGTATACAAGAAGTGACTTCTTTAGAGTAGACAAAACTTAGAGGTAGGTTATATCCATACAATAGTTGCAATGTTTGATAGGCACTGCTTTGAAAGACTTTTTTGGCAGGAAGAGTTCCAGAGGATTGGATAGCACTGACTACTATTGAGGAATAATAAAATGATCTCGTTCATTATATTGTTGAGTTGTGCCCTACACTGCATATCAAGCATGCACCGACCATTGGTTAGCCATTATCTATATTACCGTTGTAGACTTCCAGCCTGTGATGGACAGTTATATGATCGGGATTAGGTGCCCTACTATGCACACGATTGTTAAAGTGAAACCAGTTTCTTATATTCTCTAAGATGGATTGGATAACACGAGACACTACTAACAAGAAAAATGAGTTAAGATTTTATTGATTATACTGTCCAGTCCTGTCTAATATTGTACACTAGACATGTATTCGTGGATTTAACTTCATGATATTCCAGACATGCTATGTATTTAAATCTAGCATGCTCTAATATATTTGTCGCTAATGTTTTTAACTAATAATCTCGGGTGAAAGTCTTTATCTAATGTAACCCTCTCGAGGAAATTTCACTTTACTGATTGTATGGAAGTTTGTCAGTCATTGAAGGATATGAGATGCATTTGCTTAAATTTCTTACTTGTTGCTTTATCAAAGGAAAGTGGTTTCCTTTCTTAAATACGAATGAGATATTTAGGGTCTATTTGATATGATTTTTGTTTTTGCTTTATGTAGAAGAGCTTCTGGAGGAAATTAATTTTTAGAAAAAAAGCACATTCGTATTATTAGAAATAAAGCACATTCGTATTACTTTTTTATTTGAAAATTAATTTTTAAAAGTTTCCTATTATGGAAGTGCTTTTAGAGAAAATCACATTGGACCATATTTTTCTAATAGTTTTTCTAATTTGAATCACTTTCATAAAATTAGTCAAACGAGTTCAAAAATAGCTTTCAAATTTCAAAAGCTCATATTGACTTCTCAAAAATCATATAAAACGGGTGCTTAGTCATGTTCAAAAGATACTTTTTAACTGCTTTTCTATGTACGATGCAGAACTGTTAAAACAATTTGCAAAATAAAAAGGGCGTGGAGAGAGTAATCGGCTTAGATATAAATTAAAAAATTGAACTAATTATTATAATGATTTATCGATGATTCAAGTAGCATCCAAATTAGTCGTTAATAACAGTTAGTAACAAGTGACACATTCATCGTGATAATCAAGAGATGAACATGATGATACCACAGCTATCACCATGTAAGGTTAAGAGCCAAGATTGTTTCCATGAATCTTGGATTTTTTGAAACAAGTGATTTTGATGTTTGAAATCGCTAGGGATCTTTGGCTCTTCGCTTGACTGAGCAAACTTAATACCATGTTTGGCAGTCAAAAAATGAGAGAGGCATGGTCGGGTTTGCTTGTGTTTGGGTTAACTTGTAAGTTTACTCATCGGGAGAGGAAAAAAATACATGTCTTCTTACTCGTAAGAGTGAGAAAAAGGGTTTACAAGCAAAAACAAACCAGAGTTGTTCCAAACTTCTTGTCTCTCAATGTATTTTTAACACTTCGACACAGACACATCGACACATCACCACTTCTTATTAAACGACAAATGACAAAGTCAATATTTATTGTGTTGATGTGTCAAAAATATATTAAATGGATAGCAAGTTTGGAACGGTACATTTGGGCTCCTTGAACATGCAATGCAATAGGTGTGCATCTAGAGGTGTCAAGACGGACGGGCCGGCCATGACCCGTAAAAACCGGCCCGCGGGCCGACCCGTGACCCGTGCGGGCGGTTCACGGGCCAAGGAGGTGTAACCCGCGGGCTTCGCAGGTTG